TTGAAAATATATTAAAAATATTTTTAACATTAATAAATCAAAACTATAAAAAATATATATAAATAATTTTTTTTAAGAAATATAATTTTAAACAGGATCCCCGACATGGGGTGAGCATGGTCCTTCCTGTTTGTTTAATGTTCTTTCCTTGTGGGGTTCGTGTTTAGATTTTAGCAGTACTTGCTACAGTTATTTACAGGTGCGCCCGGGTCTTCGTTAATTTATGCCCTGTTTGGTTGCCAGAAAACGACTCCGTGGTAAACAAATTTTAAGAGCAGGCATCCCTTAATATCTCGCTTAAAATAAGCTAGAAAAATAAATAAGCCTTAATTATTTGTTCAAGAGTATAGTTATAATTATTTTTTAAAAATATTTTTTATGTTAAAATATATTAAAATAATATTTTTTTATTTTTTTAAAATTATTTTTAAAATCAATATATTAAAACAATTCAAGATATATAAAAATATTAATTTTAAATAAAAAATTAATTTTTTTATGAAAACCGGCGTCCCAAACAATCCCAAAGCATGTAAAGTGTGCATGGTATCATATAGTAGTTGGTCTTTCTTGTGCCATTAATGTGCAATCAAAGAACATATTTGTGGGTTAAGGTTTCCTGAACATGGAATGACACTGTGATTGGTATGTATATATATACTAATTAAAAACTGAGTTGGGAAGATAAGAAACGGATACATATAAAGATATTTAATCATGTGTTGTATAGAGCCTTTTAATTTCTTTTTTAATTTAATTATACGACACTAATATATTTTATAAAAAGAATAATAATTTAAATTTTATTGAAATAAAATTATTTGCTAGTAAAAATCTTCATTTTCTTATTAGTATCCCTGGTATAAACAAAAACTAACAATTTTTCTATTTCATTTATTCAATAAAAAACAAAAGCATTAAGAAGATAAAGATAAAAAAATGTATATATATGTCAAACTAAAACTCATTTGTCTCGTTGCTCACTAAAATATCTATTTTTTAGACAACATTCCATCATCTTATCAACAAGTTTTAATTATAAGAAAATAAAATAAAACTCTAATAATTTTAATATGAGTATATTAAAAAAATAAAATCATATGGGATTAATTTTATGTAATCTAGTTAGTTTATTGGATTAAAAGATAATAAAAAAGAGCAATAAAAAGCTCGTTTAAGAAAAAAAAATTCAAAATGATATTTTTTTAATAAATATTGAGCACAAACATATTAAATTGATCTTAGTTAACCTATCAAACATATAGTTTAGATCATACATTATATTAAATTTAATAAATTTGTTTTTTATAAATTATTTTTTATTCAATTGTATAATAACAAAAATAGACAATTAAAGTAAAACAGCAAAATTAAAGTAAAATATTGATTATATCTTATGCATAAAAAGAAATCTGGCTAATATTTTGTAAGTGATTTTTACAATTTTATTGAATAATAGAGTAAAAAATAAATAGATTTCATAAAATAATATCTAAAATACATTCTTAATTAATTTAATAATTAAGAAAAAAAACATAGAGAATACATTTTTAAAATTGTTTATTTTTTAAGAAATTATATCAAAATTATTATAAAAAAAAATCAAGTGCGCTGGCTTGAAGACCTAGGCATTATTAATAATTTTTACACTCTTTCATTGTTTTCTAGCAATTTTCTCCTCCCCCCTCAAACTTTGGGGTTTGAAATGTAAATAAAATGAAATCTTTGACTAAATCATATAATTTTCAAACTAAAAGAATAAAAAAAGAATTCAAGTAGATCTCAAGGCTAATTTTTTTTTTTGAAAAAAAAAGATGCTAACATATTGTTTTTTAATTAAAAAAAAAAGGTTGTTGTTTCACCAAGCTTCCCTCCTTTTTATTAATTACAAACAACAAAACTTAATTAGTTTTTCCAAAACTAAAAACTAATTTAATATTGGGATGATTTTTTCAAGATTGTAATAAATCTAATGAAATTAGTATGAAATAAATTATCAAGCAAATCACTACCAATCAACACAACGGGAAATAATAAAATTAAAAAAAAATTGATTAATAAATTAAAAAATAAAGGATTAATAATGATTTTTTTGGGAATAAAGGGTTGCTATTTCACTTTACTTTCAATTTTTGGACCTTGGTTTTTTATATTTTTGCAAAAAATCAAATGAATTTCTCTTTTGCAAAATCAAGAACCAATCTAATATTATAATTTTTTTTTAATATCTGATAACTCAACATAAAAAAATAATAAAAAATCATCAAACCCAATCACCAACCAACACAACAAAAAAAATAAACATTACAAAAGAAAGGACATAAAAAATTAGAATGAGAAGGATAATAATGTTTTCCTAATTCATTTTAGTTTTTTTATAATATAATATAATACATATATAATAATGATAATAAGACTAGTTAGGTGGCTCGTGCTACGTCGCAGACTCATTTTTTATTTTTTTAAATAATTGGGTCCTGACTCTAGTAGAATCCAAGGCTATTTGAGTCATATACTGATAGGAACTAAGTCTATTTTGGGTTCTAAATTGCCAATGACCCAAGACCATTTTAGGTTCTACAGATATGAAGACCAAAGATAATTGAGTCTAGGTATACCCAAGCGCCACGTGTGTGAGTGCCAAGCTCTTCGGTAAGCACCCAAGCGCCACGTGTGTACAGGTGCCCAACACAGAGATAGGATCCAAGTGTCCCATGGGCACAAGGGATATACCCAACCCCTAAGCAATAACCTAAGTGCCACGTGTCCCAGTGTAGTTTTTCTTCGATAGTAATAATAGTTTCTTAGAATTTAGCAATGATGATAATAATAGTAATAGTAATAGCAATTTCTAGTTTTACCTTTCAAATAAAATATATGGGTGTTTTTCAATAGTAAAAATAATTTTCTTCTAATTTTCAAATTATTTAATTAATAATATTAATTATTATAAAAATAATAACATTTATAACACAAAAGATAATATTTTTAATATTAATAATTTCAATCATAGTGAAAATAATAATATTTAGAACACAAATAACACTATTTTTAATCTCAAGAATATTGAGAACACAAATAATAATATTTTTATATTAAAAATTGAATTCTTATAAAAATAACAACATTATAACATAAATAATAATATCTTTGATATGAATATGTTGAATTATAACAAAATTGATATGAATACTTAAAATAATAATATATTTTAGATGAATATTTTGTATTCTAAAATAATATTTACAATGCAAATTATAATATTTTTTATATTAATAGTTAGAATTATTGAATATTTTTAATAACACTATACCGTGGACTCACTTTTTATTTTTATAAAAGAAATTATAAAAATTTCTAATATAAATAATTATATGTTTTCAATATTAATGGTAATATTTTCTTTGAAATTTATTAATTATTTTATTAATAATATTAATTATAATAAAAATAATAATATTTTAAAAATAAATAATAATATTTAAAATTGAGTCCTTACACACGACCTATTGATCTTAGGTCGTGACACTAAGCCCATTTTCTTTGAGCCCAATAGCATGACCCAAGCATCATGTGTGTTCAAGTGGAGTGTGGGTATGGACATGCTCAGCACAGCCCAAAGGCCACATGTGAGCAAGGTGTGTCCAGCATTGAGACAAGAACCAAAGTATCACGTGGATATAGGGGTGTACCCAGCATTAAGGTAGGAGCCCAAGCACCACGTGGGCGCAGATGGTGCGTCCAGCCCAAGAAAGTAGCTCAACCACCACGTGTCCTCACATAATATTTCTTCAATAGTAATAATAGTTTTTTAAAATTTATTAATAATGATAACAATAATAATAGTAATAGTAATTTTTTGTTTTACTTTTCAAATCAAATCTATGGGTGTTTTTCAATATTAAGAATAATTTTTTCTAATTTAATAACTATTTTATTAATAATAAAAATTATTATAAAAATAATAAATATTTATGATTATAATGAATATTTTAACACAAATAATAATATATTTGATATGAATATGTTGAATTCTAAGAAAAATAATAATATTTTGATATGAATACTTTGTGTTGTAAGAAAAATAATAATATTGACAACATAAATTATAATATTTTTAATATTAACACCTAGAATTATTGAATATTTTTAATAATACTACACCACGGGCTCACTTTTTATTTTTATAAAAAGCACCATAAACATGTATAATATAAATAATAATATGTTTTCAATATTAATAGTAGTACTTTCTTTGAAATTTATCATTTGTTTTATTAATTATTTTAAAATAAATAATAATATTTAGAATTAGATCCTTATACATGACCTATTTATATTGGATCGTGATGCTGGATCCATTTCCTTTCGGTCCAGCGACATGGCCCAAGCGCTAGCTCAGCCAAGTAAAGTGTGGGCATGGACATGCTCACATCAGTGCAAGTGCCACGTGGGCACTGGGGTGTAACCAAGCTTCTTGTAGGTAGCCCAAGCTCCATAAAGGCTATCAAAAAGCCATATGGGCTTAGGGGTGTGCCCGACATTGAAACATGAGCCCAAATACCATCTATGCTCTTGATTTGTTAGCGTACACAAAGACACCGCATAGTCCTAGAAGACGCGCCTCTAAGCAAGCATTTGGAATCTAATGGTTACTGTTTCATATATGTTCTTATTAAATAGTGCCCTTCATTAAATAGTGAAAAATACTCATAGTTTATAATAACCATACTCCACTGCATAATAATATAATTAATAATAAGTTTATTTAAAAAAAATAATATTTTACCTATAGAAAAACACTAATCAATTTTAACTATAGAATGCAGGAAAACTCAAGGAAACTTGAGCAAAGACAACATTTAATAATAATATACTTCCTATTTTGGTATTTACAAATTACAACAGCCCGTCGACAAGAGCAGACAAGACAAGCCATGACCATTGCCGACCCACTAGTATCTAATCCACGTCACTGTCGTTGATAGCCCACGTGATCTTGATCAACGAAGAAACCGATTCAATTACTTCACAATAAAGACAACAGCAATGCCCATTTCTTCAAACCCACTATCACTTCACAAATGTTCCAACACAAGCTTGGCCACTACAGGCTACTAGAAGCTGAGAATTTACTGGGTATTGCTAGTGCTACATCATTCATCAATTTATCTATCTATCTGTTCTTAAAAAATCAACCTCAACACCAACTGGGTATGATCAGAAACTTTCTTTCTTTCTTTCTTTTATCGTTTCTGTTTGTTTTTATGATTAGTTATTCAGTTTTATTTATTTATTAAGTGTTGTTATTTTTTTTTCTGGACAATTTTCTTTAATGTAAATTATTAGGGAATAATTTTAGTTTGGGTCTCAGATCTCTATTCTTCAGTCACATGATATCTCTTCAGTCACATGATATCTCACCTTCTTGTTGCACGTAGAGTTAAAAGAATTAGTTGAAGAATATTAGGTTAATCAGAGATAGGTGCCTGAAATGATTTGTCTTTGAAGGTTCTAGAGGAGTGCTCCTATATTATACAGAAGGTGAGGTGTCTCTGATGCAAAGGAGTAGTTTTAGAGTTGATGTTCTTGTAGTATGTGGTGAGCTGGATTTTACCTGTTCCCAATTCTTCCTTCTCCTATATATCCTGGATTACAACCAGGAGCTTGTTTATATTTGTTATGTCTTCTGGTGCAAAAGGGATTATGATTCTTGAAACAGAATATTGAGAGCTTTTTTTATTGATTAGTCTGAGCGGTGCGAACTTGCAGATATTCACAGTTCTGAATCAAAGCTGAGTCTGAGATGGGGAGAGCATTAAGAGATCTGAAACTCTAATTTGATCCTAATGGATAGAAGTAAGACCATTGTTTGGTTTAGGAGGGACCTTCGAATTGAGGATAACCCTGCATTAGCTGCTGCTGCAAGGGATGGTTGTGTTTTCCCTGTATTTATATGGTGTCCTAAAGAAGAAGGACAATTCTACCCGGGTCGAGTGTCCAGGTGGTGGCTGAAGCAGTCCCTTGCTCACTTGGGACAATCCTTGAAATCACTTGGTGCTGAACTTGTTCTCATCAAAACCCATAGTACAGTTGCTGCTCTTCTGGATTGCATCGAAACCATTGGGGCGACGAGAGTGGTATTTAACCATCTCTATGGTATGCTTTCTTTCTTTGTTTCCTTAAACATGACTTGCCCCAACTGCTATTGAACACCCACATTCACTTGAATCAACTCGATGATGAATGCCAACATGTGATTCTTTGTATTTGTTATCTGGTGAACTGTATCTAATTTATGGCGTAATGCTAATTGAATTGGGGCTTATTTCTTCATGGTGGGGTGGGGTGGTGGGGATTGGGGGAAAGTCCCCAAAACTTGTACAATTGGTGTGAGAGGATTATAAATGTTAATGATTCTATTTTTCAGTTGAAGTTATGGCATATCAAACAAGGGAAACATGCTTGTGGTTCTTAAGAAAAATAATAGGAGCATGGCTCATGAAATTTACAAAACTCTACACTGCCTGGTGTTTTCATTGTAGTAATAGATACAATTTACTGTTGATTGCTACAATAAAATTACTTATTTATCTTTTAGTGGGAAAAAAATTAGACGTTGAATTTTTTTTTTTTTGCTTTTCCATCGGTCATTAAAAGATTGTTTGAGGGTTCGCATGTCTTTTTTTTTTTTAACAGTAAAAATACTTTTTTACCCCCCAAAATTTAAAATTGTTGATGAACAGCTTTCTTGACTTTTTATAAATTTCTTAACAATAAAAATACTTCTTTGCCTCTAGGAACAAAAAATTATTAGGCTGTTGGACGAGTGTTTTTGGTTTTTTCATCATTCATGTACAAGTACAAATTTAACCTTGGATTAGACAAAAAAGTAGTTTTGTATTTGGGGGTATTTTTGTACTTTCATATAAGTATTTTGTGGAATTAACAAGATCATGAGGGATGTTTTGATATTTTCATGTTTACTTTCGAATATTTAAATCAGAAAACCTTTGACGTGTATTGGTCACATGCCAACGAGTGGGTGGCATTTGTGCCATTCAGGTGGTGCGTGTGACGTCATCCGATAGCCAAATTTAGCTTTATGTTGTTTTTCTGGATGCCAACCGTTCCCTTTTCCACACAAAGTAGCACGTGTCTGCTTATGGTGATCGAATTATCACCGGTGGTCGTTTGTTTCCCCTCTTTTTCTCTCTTGTGATAGATAAATTGCACCTTTATCCTTTTTGTTTTTTTATTTTTTTAATTTCTTATTTTGTTCTTATTTATTTTTATAGATGCTTTTAGTTTTGCAATTTAGTCTTTCATTCAATTACACTTTTTCATATGTTTTATTTTTAATTCCAGTCCCCATTCTTTTAATTTTTGATTTCGTTCTTATTTTTTCTATAGTTTTAGTCCTTATCTTTTTTAATTTTCAATTTAGTTATTCAATTATAATTTCTCAAATGTATTTTTTTCATTCCAATTTTTTTTTTTGAATTTTTAATGTTTTTTTTCTTCAAATTAACCTTTATTCGTTTGATTTTTTTCTTGTATTAAAGCTATTTTTTAATTCAATTTAAATCTTCAATTGAAATTTTTTATCTGACTTCTACTTAATGCCTTTTTTTTCACCCTCAGTTTTTTTAAGATCCTTTTATGTAATTGATTTTTTTCTTGTTTCATCTTTCGACATTTGTTTTGTTAGGGATTTGGCTTCGTGTGATCTTATCATTCTACATTTAAAAAAAAATATTGGTTTTGTGATTAAAAAAATATTTTTTAATAGGTTTATCATAGTTTCATAACCTAGATCACAAGTTTTACATGTTTTTTTTTAATATAAGATTTTTGAGAATTGTTTTGTTTGTGTTTGATTTTTCAAGATATTATTTCTAAAAATAAAAATATTTATTTTTAAATAATATTGTTGATGTGTAATATTTTTTCAAGGGCATGAGTTTATTCAATTAGTCTCATTTGTGATTATCTTTTAGGTCATGAGTTTTTTAGGGTGTAGATTTATCTTTGATTGATTTAAATAAACAAGTTCATTAAACACATTCGGGTAAGTGTCTTGTTTTGTTTGATTGATTATCTTAATCTATATTCATTTCTTATTTTTTTTCAATTCTCTTTTAGTTATTGTTAACTATTTTTTTTTTATATAAATAATTATTGATTTATTTAATTAGATGCTTGCATAGGTTTTTTAATATACACTTTGAATTTTTATTATATAAGAAAACACATCAAAGCAGCTTGCATACTTTTTTTTTTTTGAAAAAAAATTTACAACCCACGGTGGTGCGCGGGTTAGATAGCTAATTGAAATCTAAATATTGGAAGGAAATCCTAGTGGAGCCGCTCAATGATCCTTAAAGAGGCGGAAGCTTGTGTTTCCTTATCACTGACCCATGAGCAAGTAAAAACAAATGCCGTATAGTTTTCTTAAAGTAGATAATAAGGTTTTCTATATTCAATCAGAGTTAGGAATTAGCGGGCAATACATTTTCCTTCTTGGAAGATGCTCTTGTTATTTTTCTGGGCTCTCTGAGCATGCAAGATGTCTACTACTCCATGATTTTCACTGAATCAATCATAAAACATGCGCTGATCCAGAGACGTACAACAAACAACAAACGTGGATAGCATATACTGTCAGAGCATAAATCATTTACTTTTTAAATAATCTATTAAGATAGCTGGTGGATGATCAGCTCTGTGTTGGTCTTTGAAATGAGTATGTGTTGCTTTATTAATGATAGTTTTGAGTACAATTCCTAGTTTCCTTATAAGAGGAGTTTATTTAACGTCTAATTACCTTGTTTTCCTTTCCATTCTCTCATTCTCCCAGATCCTGTCTCTCTTGTTCGTGATCACAACATCAAAGAAAAATTGGTGGAGCTTGGCATTTCTGTACAAAGTTATAATGGCGATTTGTTGTATGAACCGTGGGAAATATATGATGAAAGAGGGCATGCTTTCACGACATTTGAAGCATACTGGGACAAGTGCTTGCACATGCAAATGGAACCTGTTTCACATCTTCCTCCATGGAGATTGGTACCTGCTGCAGGTATATTTCAATATGGGGTGGTCTTTCAATCTGGTTCTCTGATTACAAACAATAATAAATTTAGAATAGAAACTGTTGATTTTGGTGCAACTTCTCCTGCAACTGGAGATTAAATCCCCATGTCTGTGTGCTTTTCAGTGAGGAAAATGAATAATCAATAATTTTCTCTTTCATGACAGGAACAGTTATGAAATGTTCAGTTGAGGAATTAGGTCTTGAAGATGAAGCCGAAAAATCTAGTAATTCCTTGTTAGGAAGAGGATGGTCTCCGGGTTGGAGCAATGCTGATAAGGCTCTAACTGAATTTGTTGAACAGCATCTAATTGATTATGTGGAGAGTAGGCTAAAAGTTGGGACCTCCACCTCACTTTTGTCCCCGTATCTTCATTTTGGAGAGCTGAGTGTGAGGAAAGTTTTCCAATTTGTGCAATTGAAGCAGTTATTGTGGGCAAAAGAAGAGAACTTAATGGGGCAAAAAAGCGTGACTCTGTTTCTTAGATCCATCGGGCTTAGGGAATACTCCCGTTATCTTTGTTTTAACTTTCCGTTCACTCATGAGAGATCGTTGTTGAGCAACTTAAAGTATTTTCCGTGGGATGACAATCAGGTCCATTTTAAGGCTTGGAGACAGGGGCGGACTGGTTACCCATTAGTTGATGCAGGAATGCGTGAGCTCTGGGCAACTGGTTGGATACACAACAAAATAAGAGTAATTGTTTCAAGCTTCGCAGTAAAAGTTCTTCTTCTTCCTTGGAGATGGGGAATGAAATATTTCTGGGACACTCTTTTGGATGCAGATTTGGAAAGTGACATCCTTGGTTGGCAGTATATTTCAGGGAGCTTACCAGATGCTCATGAGCTTGAACGCTTGGATAACCCAGAGGTATATTGGATTATTATGTTTATTGAAACATCTGCAATTGAATTGTATGTATTTCTCCTACTTCTCCAGATGAAACATGCTAAATTTTGCATAAACTTCTCCAGCTTCGTACTTAAAGTATGTAGTACAACTAATTTAGAGTCTCTTGCATGTGATTTGTGCTGTATAAAGTCATGTGCAGAACATCTTTTCTCAAGCGTTCCTTTCTTACAAGATGGCTCGATTGTGGCTTAACCACACTGGAATGGAAACTTCACGTTCTTCTTTTCATCTTTTGCTTTAATACTGCATGAGAAAATCCATACTTTGGTAGAAGTCATATTGCTGAATCGTGGAAATGTCATCCATGGTGGTTTAAATATGGTTTATTGGCTTCTTGAGCTTTTGATAGCATGTTAGATTTATAAATCCTTTTAACACTTGTTCAGCAGTTGGGGCTTTTGGGGTTTTGCTTGCTTATTTCTATTTTATTTTGGTTAATATAGAAATCTTTGTAAAATTTATGATTAGATGAATCCAGATACCATTGGAAACTGGTTTTGATGCGTTGGAAACCCATCCCCCGTTTTGAAAAGGACCCAGTATCTAATGCCTTGTAATAAAAACTTTTAGGCCTTCATGGTCCTGGGTTTCCCTGATTGTTTATAAGAATGTAGCAATTTAACAGTAGATTGTGTATTAATTAAGAGTACAATTTTAAGGCCCTATTTTCATGCCTTATTTTTCTGAATCATGTGCGTCAGATTCAAGGCTCCAAATTTGACCCAGAGGGTGAATACGTACGGCGCTGGTTGCCCGAGCTAGCAAGAATGCCAGCTGAATGGATCCATCATCCTTGGGATGCATCCATTGCTGTGCTTAAAGCTGCTGGAGTTGAATTGGGAATCAATTACCCAAAACCTATAATTGATATAGATTTGGCTAGAGAGCGTCTAATGGAAGCTATATTCAAGATGTGGGAAATGGAAGCAGCTGCACGGGCTTCAAATACAAATGGAACTAATGAAGTTGTTGTTGATAATACTGATGATACTGAGAATTTGGCCATTCCGAAGGTTGTCTTAAAAGATAAGGTTACTTGTCCTACTAATTCATCTAATGATCAGAGGGTACCAACAAATCAGAATTCCAAGAATATTCCAGCTTATAGGAAGAGATCAAAGTACATGGAAGAAGAGAGACCACAACCAGATAAATTGCATAATGATGATAATGTAGTGGGTACCTCAAGAAAGGATGAAGACTTGTGCTCTACTGCTGAATCTTCATCAGCTAAGAAGCAGGCCACCAGCAAATGTTCGTTTTGTGTTCCCCAGTACTGTTCCTCCTCAGAAGGCAAGCCTTTGCAGGAGTGTGAGTCTTCTGACCTCAGGCAGCCATTGCAAGCACAAATTGAAATGGAACAGAGTTCGAGCAAAGATGGTAAGCAATTGCACTTTATTGTCTAGATGATCGAAGTGGATACAATTTCTAGTTCTCTTATCATGTTCCCGATCTCTGTCAAAATCATTACTGGAAACCAACTTGCATGGTTTTCTCCCTACTTGTCTTCCTTCGGCTTCTAATGCATTGGCTTAGTTTTCCTTCTACTAAATTTGCATTTGCCAAACAGAATATCTCTTATCTGTCGTAAATCCATGCGCTTCTCCACTGTCAATCAAGAAAGATAGCTTATTTGACAGATAAGCTCCATAGCTTTCCGGGGCCATGTTTTGACATTACAAGAGTGTAAATTTGTTTCTTATTGTGTTTGCTTCTTGCTTTCTGTAGACAAAATCATAGAAAGAGGCTTAAGACATGTAACAAAGTTTTGGATTATGCATGTACCTTCTTACATGGATATGATGCTTTTATGGTACATGTGTGCACTTTAGAGCACATATAAATAGACAGTGAATAACCTCTGTGGAGTCAATATGTTATTTCTGGTTGGTGGATGACTGTCTTGTGTAGGATTCAGCATGGTATATTAAGCTTTTTTCCCACGATGTATCAGATGGTGTTTGTTCCTCGACTCGACAAAACCAGCTAATGTGCTTGTGTGTTGCTGGTAAATAAGAAGCCCACAAATTAGATTTTGTTCAAGTTCACTGCACTCACTAAACAATTATAACAATCAGGGGCACTGCACCGATGGATTTTATTGGTCTGATCTACGTAAAAAGAGTATGTAAACAAGTTTGCATCTTGCTCCACAGAAAGAAAGAAAGGCTCGCCGCAGCTTCTTCTTCTTGTTTTTTTTTTTTTTTACATAGTTGGGCGCTAGAGTTGAAAAGAGGCAGGATGTCCGATATGCTTGCTATGGTTACTTGAAACCATTACCAAATATAAGAAGTTCAAAAATTTATGATGCATTAAATCTAATATGCTTATTAATTATTGGTTATCATTTTTTTTTTAAATACCATATACATAGAACTGCCTTTTATATTTCCTAGTGGCACCGTGTTTTTTTCCGTCTTAGTGATTGAAGTATGCTTATGACATGAGTTAATACATTAGTAGGATTTACTTTTAAATCCCACATTAATATCATATGATCAGATGATACAATGTTTTTAAAGTTTAGTATTTGTTCTCGTTGTGACAATGCATTCATTTAAATTAGGAAATATAGGTAAAATAAATAAAAAGAAAAATTACCCTAATATCTTATAGTTTAGTGGAAATTGTATTTATCTACTGAGTTTTGAAAAATTATAATTTATATTCTGAACTTTTAAAAAACATACTTAGCGTCCTTCAAATTAATAAGTCAACAATTGTTTATTATTTAGTGTTTACTATTATTTTTTATTTAAAGATTAAAATACCCTTAACACATACTCGTATATACTATTTTCCATTTCCTCGAAACCCTAGCATCCAGCTTGCATATAAAATTTAGAATGTAAATTATAATTTTTTTAAAACCCTTTTGTATTTGTCATTCTACATAGATTTTATTTTTTTGACTGGTTAAATAACTTCTGTTTTTTTTAACAGTTCCACACAAGTATATTTCAAAACTTAATTTTATAAAAGTTAAAAGAATTTATTGTTTGTTCATGGATTTCATTTATTTAATATTAAAAATTCATCTTATAGTAGCTTTAATCAAATTTTAAACAACTAAAATTATTATTTTTATATCTATATTTTTTTAACTACAACCATAAAAACTACCATAAGACCACATACTTAATGGTTAACTATAATGCCATCAAATAACCCCCGAAAATTTCCTCCTAATCTTCGCGTTGGCATATATTACTCCTAGCATTTGTTAAACCTAGGCCTAATTTTCTTCCACAGACACTATTAATACCTTGAAACCTAGCGTGAAGAAGAAGAGGAAGAAGTATTAGAGATGATCCAGAGTAAAATACTTGCAGCAGATATTCATCGTTAATTTGACATTATTTCCAGGCTGCCAGTGAAATAGCTGTTGCGCTTCAAGTGCGTCTGTAAAGCATGGTTGAGCCAAATTGAAAACTCTAATTTCATCACCAACCACTACAATAAAGCCTTAAAACCATATATCAGGCTGCTTGCATGGTAATTATATGTCCATCGCCGGGTAGCCTCTTTCCATGACTCATCTTTTTCCTTGCCTGTATACTGAAACACTTGATCGCATTTGAAAATCATGTCGCCTTACCTCCCAGCATGAAAGACCTGCCATGTCCACCAGTTATTCGAGTCCTTGTAACGGCATAATTTGCTTTTACCGCGACTGGGATGACATTACGTTATGGAATTCTGCAATAAGAGAGTCCAAGGTTTTGCAGATTTATTGTAAGTGGTTCTTCGTTGGATTTGGTTTTGATTCCGAGGTTAATGATTACAAGATAATGGGATTCACTGGTGCCTGGAATTCCACTCGGATCATATTGTACGGCCTAAGAAGTGATAATTGGATTGAAATTCCTGATGATCGATCATGCGGCCACAGGATTTGCTAGACTTGCTTTTCAGGTACGTATGTGAAAAGATCTATTTATTGTTTATCAAAGGATAAGAAGGGTAGGACCGTGAACATTTCATTCGACACTAGTAATGAGTTGTTCCGAGTAAGGACAGCATGGGAGGATATTCTCGCATCAACGAAGATGCGAGTATATATTTGTACTCTTGAATGAAGCAATGATGACTCTCTTGTTGTGGTTCTCTCACGGTGAGCAGAAAGACCTCGAAATATGGATAACAAAAGATCACCGCGTCAAGGAGTCTTGGATCAAGACATACGTTATTGATCCACTTGATGTTTCCACGCTTCCTTCAGCTAGTAGAAACTGAAGGTTTTGATCACATAAAGTATTTGTTACAAACAAAAATTATGTAAATATATAACCTAACAAAAAAATTTATAGACTAATAAAATATGGCTAAACCCAAGAAAGGATTTAGTTGCACGAGATCAATATATTAACAAAATAAAAATCATTAGATGTGACTCAAATTTTTTCAGGAAATTTCCAAGACATGGTTCTATAGAACGCTTGGCTCATTAGAACCATCCGAGCTTAGAAAACCCCTAAATTAGGCTATGATTATATTGTTTGTCAGGTTTTATGATTTTGATTTTCTATTATTTTTCTTTTTGTTTAGGGACTCTGATTTTATTACCTATTATATGTCAGTTTTTAGCATTTAAGGAATTGTAAATCTTTTAAAAAAACAAAATATATTGTACTTTTATTTCATAAATAAAACTGCAAATTAGGGCGCTTGTATTCTAACCCTGTTTCCGACCAAAACTATATCTTTTTGTGCTTCTATTTGTGCTTCCGCTTGCATCAATTTTCTTCTTTAAAGTCTTTCACATTTGACCATTGTCGATCCAAGTACCGACTAGACGAAAGTTAAAGTGAAGCAGGTCGACTACAGTACTGAAAGACTAAGGGGTGTTCTTGTTTATGTGGAGAGCCTGTATCAGAGAAAGATGATCAAAAGTAAAAGATCAAATGAAATTTGTTAGAGCATTTGATATTTGTTTGAAGATTGAACTGAGGCTACCAAATTTGATAGAAAAGAATCTTTCCGAGAACCCACAACATATTGTTTTTCTATTTAATTTGCTTGGTGAAGCAGCTTAGAGGCTGATGATGAAACTAGGCTTCAAGTTATGCCTTCTTATATTTATTTATTTGCTGCTCAACTGCAATTTCAACCTGGAGACTTGAGGCGAGTTTCTTATTTGATTTATTTTTTGACTGTGAAAATAAAGTACTATAAATTCAACAAATATTAGGGTTGTTTAGTAAGTTTTTTTTTATGTTGTTTATGAATCTATTTAGCCTATAAAATAATCGTGTCAGGAAAAGAATTGATCAAGCCTCCTTTTATCAATCAATAAACTTGTTTTTGAGACTTTCACAACTTTTTCGTTAACCTCTGTTAACCCCCATAGCTTTATTGTCAAAGCCTAATTAATGGCATATCAGTCTAGTGCTTTCGTCCACCATCACTTGTGCACGAGTAATCTCTTTGGAGGTCTATAGTACCGAGTTAGGATGAGGCATTCAACTGTAACTTGAGGCAGGAGACGTTAGACTATGCTGGAAACTTGATTTGTGCCTAAAACAAAGATTCGTAGTAGATGGTTAGACCCGTGCCTTACAGATCTACAGATATATCAAAATCTCAAGTTTCGATGTTAATTATGTTATCAAAACAGTTGCTGGGAAGGTAAAGGCAGCTTGTGAATCATTTCTCATCAATCATGAAGCCAAGATATAAAATAACGGTATGCAATTGCTTGTATAAAAAAAGGTTCAGTGTCTGACAGCTAGAGATTATAATATAAAACATCCATCATGTTGGAATTGGATTTTTAATCCCTGTAAGACAAAGCCGTCCTATGACCTTCCTGATGATACTCTGCAGACAAGAATGGATGTCGTATTTGCATGCACATTGTTTAGTTGATGTATTAGCAGGCAGTTTGTAAAACGAATCAAGTCTATAACGAAGTCTAACGATGAAAACTAATTTTTGTTAACTTCAATATAGGTAGGTAAGAGTAAGAGTATTTTTGTAACTGCATGACCAACCTGCTATGTATTATTCATTTTAAGTTTTATTGTTTGTTCTTGATGACGTGAGTTTATTTCTGAGTCTAATGCTCCAAAATGTATATGACAAGTTGACAATTAACACTTTTAATAAGGCTACCACTTCCTCATCCGCTAATATTAAATATTACAATTCACCATTTTTAAAGAACCCGACAGACCCATCAGCACAATCGAACAACTAATAAGGTTAGCTATGATATATACCAAATGTAACAATTTGGATTAACCTGTTTATATTGTTGATTTTGAGCCTTAACACCTTCACGGTTTTATTCTTGGTAATGTAAGCTCACTTCTGAGCTTGATATTTTAAAACGCGTATGATAAGTTAACAACACTAACTTCATAATTTTGTTTCTAGTAATATAAACTCATTTCTAAACTAACACTTTAAAACATATATAATAAATTAACAACCAATATTCTTAATAAGATTATCTATCAGTCACTTACCCACCAACATGAGATATTACATACATTTTTATACATTCTGGTTGTAATTTGGGCAGCAATCAGTACGTTATGCGGCATGCCGTCTCCAAGGAAGCAAACAAAGGCTAACGATTCGTATTTCTCTGTTGTTTTTGCATCCGTGTCATTTCTTTCTTTTAAGGGCTAGCATGAGCTTGGGGGGTTAAAGAAGATTGATAATGTTTCATGGCCGAATGTCCATTAATTGATTGAAACGGAAAAGGAGCTTTGCTTACCACGATATATTTGTCTCCACTGCAATATTCTATCACAAGTTTTGGTGAACAGTGAGTACATGAAAGTAGCTCCTCGAAGAAACAAGGAGGATAGCTGGCGTTTGAATTTTCTTTGTGATCAGTCGTTCCTTCCTTTGTACCTTGTATTGTCCGGATTCCGTAGCAAATCCAACTTTTAAATCACAAATTATGATCCCCCGACCCCTTGCTTCCTCCGAGAGTCGTGAAAAGCACAACCTCTTATCTTCCGAAGTTCATTCAAATTATAAGGTATTTAGAACTGTAATTGTAAAATTACTTAAAAATATATTAAAATAATTTTTTATTTTTTAAAATTTATTTTTAATATCAGTATATTAAGCTAATATAAAAACATAAAAAATATTAATTTAAAATAAAAATAATATACTTTAAAAAATAAATACAATCACTCTTCTAAATACCTTAAAATAAAAAATTAATTTTTTAAAAATACTTTTAAAATATAAACCCATACAGTTATTAAGAAAACCCACCAATGATCTTGCATTGAAGAGAATCCCAAAAGAAATTTCATGGTGTCTCTAATGTGATTAAACATAAGTGGTTCCAAAAATATGATATGTAATCAAAGAATCTTTTTTCATACATTCGAGCGCCCCTAATTTCTTATAATGGAAGAGCAAACATGGTGTTTCTTTCTTCCTTTTTGTACAAGTTTTTAGGGTAATTTATTATGCAAATTAAATCACGAAATTAACATGGATATTACAATTTATAGTCGTGCAGGTATCAAATGCTAATAAAGAAAATCCATAATATGTGACTGGTAAAAACCAGACTTAGTTTCAGCAAAGGAAAACTAGAAGAACTTGTTTTTGGACCGAAAACTGAAAAAAAAAAAAAGGTAAAAGTTGTTCAATGCATAAAAGAGGAAAATATTATCTTTCATGCACATATCATCCGCATAAAAAAAATTCATATGCATAAACAGAGTTTTATTGCTATAAAAATATTGATTTATGTTAATATTAAAAATAAATATAAAAATATAAAAATAAATAAATTTTTAAATAAAAAAACCATCATAACCCAAATAGAGTTCTATTCCGGTTCAAGAATGCACCAAAGGAAAAGGCTTTATCCGTCGTTTTATTAACAGACCTGTTTCTGATCCAACGGCTCTTTCGGTTACTGTTGTTTCCAACCGTTAGATCCGTGCTCCGCTGAATATTCTATCAAACATTCCTTAAATAACGTTAAAAGCCAAGACACACCACCGAACAAAATTACAGCTTCTATCACAACAGCAACAGAGACATAACAGAGCAAACAACAAAAAAACAGATACGATGAGCGAAGCACTCGACAGAGACTACCAGATCTGCGAGGAGATTGGCAGCGGACGATTTGGTACTGTTTTCCGATGCATCTCCCGCTCTAACGGAGACTATTTCGCTGTCAAATCCATCGTCAAGAGCCTTGTCTCCGGTGACTCCCTTGACTCGCAATGCCTCTTAACAGAGCCCAAGACCCTCCACTTCCTTTCTCCTCACCCCCACATAATCCAACTCCACAACCTCTACGAGGACGAAACTCACCTTCATATGGTAATCGACTTATGCTCTAATCAAGACCTCCACGATTTGATAATCACCAATGGCGTTCTTTCAGAGAACGAAGCCAGAGTGGTTTTTACTCAACTGATGAAAGCCATCTCTCACTGTCATACGTACGGCATCGTTCATCGAGACATCAAGCCTGACAACATCTTGTTTGACGAGGAGAATACAATTAAGGTGGCGGATTTTGGATCTGCCGAGTTTGTAATGGAAGGGGAGATGGTGAGTGGTGTAGTGGGGACACCGTATTACGTGGCCCCTGAGGTTTTGATGGGGAGAGAGTATGGAAAGAAGGTGGATGGGTGGAGTGCTGGGGTGGTGTTGTACATAATGTTAGCTGGATTTCCGCCGTTTGACGGGGAAACAGCAGATAAGATTTTTGAGGCGGTTTTGAGGGGGAATTTGAGGTTTCCTGCTAGAGTTTTCCAGTCTGTGTCAGCAAGTGTTAAGGATCTTTTAAGGAGGATACTTTGTAAAGATGTTTCCAGGCGATTTTCTGCTGAACAAGTGCTAAGTAAGTGGAAACATAAATTAGATTTTGTATTTAAGAGTTAGATTCTCATCAAAATGTTCATCGTTTAAATATCTATGGGCTTTGAATCCAGATAATTGTTATAGTAATTTGATTTCATGTGTTTAATTATCTGCAGGACATCCATGGGTAGCGAATGTGGCTGATTTGACATGAAAGGCCAAGAAAGAAAGAAGGGGCTTAGACGAGCAGACATGCTTGTGTTGTACAGTATAGGTAGTGCACGTACGGCATAGAGAGATTTGCAGCAGCGCCGGCGAGTATCCATCCTACTAGATTGGTTTTCACTCATGAAGAGGGTCCCTTTTCTTTTCTTTTTCATTTTTCATTAGGTAAAGAAGCTGGCTTGTGGGGAAGGAGTTTCCATTTATAAATTCGTTTGTTTATTTATTTAACCAACGGAGGATACTCTGTATATATGAATGAATCGTTGCATGAAACTGGAGATTATGAGTTTTTCTATAATGTAGTTGGTTGTTATCTATATCATTTAAGAATCTTTTGTGAAACAGCTTTCTTGATTGTTTTATATATATATAAAGAAAAATCTTTTATATGAGGTTATGATTTTACATTTTCCTTGATAATGCATGAAAAATTCACAAAAATAATTCCTATACGGTCAGTCACTTCACATGTCCATGAATTATAATGAACAAAAATCAACCTAAATTTTTCTTGACTCTGCAATTGTGACGCAAGAAAAAAACAAAATCCAATTACTAAAGGCTGGGGGGCATCCCCGGGGGCTGAGAGGGAGAGAGAGAGAGAGGAGATCTCAAGTTCACGCTTTAGTTTTAGGATGAGTTTTCATGAAGCAGTTTTACATATTTTTTTAATTAACTTTTATAAAATATTATTTGTTTTTGTTTTTTAAAAGCACTTTAAAAAAATTATTTTTTTTGTTTTAAATTAAATATTTTTTAGTGTTTTTAGATAATTTTGATACCCTGATATCAAAAATAATTTTTAAAAAATAAAAATTTATTATTTTAATATATTTTCAAATAAAAAATACTTTGAAAACCAACCATAATCACGTTTTAGCTTTAGGATGAGTTTTTATGAAGTAGTTTTACATATTTTTTTAATTGAATTTCATAAAATATTATTTGTTTTTGTTTTTTAAAAGCACTTTAAAAAAATTATTTTTTTCTTTGTTTTAAATTAAATTTTTGTAGTGTTTTTAGATCATTTTGATACGCTGATATCAAAAATAATTTTTTTAAAATAAAAATATATTATTTTAATATATTTTCAAGTAAAAAATACTTTGAAAAACAATCACAATTACACAACTACCAAACATGTTATACATGTTTTTTTGCTGCAAATAAACTTTAACCATAATTTTTATTAAACATGTATCTAAATCCAACTAACTTTTGCTACCAACACTTTTTTTAAATTTATATTTTTCAAATCAGAACCACAAAAGCTACTTTAAAAACAAACATATTTTTAATAATAATATTCCTGATATTATATAAAAAATTTCATTAAGATGAATTTGTGAAAATTTTAAAATTCTATTATTAAATGCTAGAGTGAAACACATAGTGCTTGAAGGTGATAAGTTAACTATTCATTAACGCATTTATAACACTACAAATCATGTAAATTGTTTTGGTCTGGCAAAGACGGGTGAACTTTATAGCATTTTGGGCATATCAGGTCATGCACGAACAATTAGAAACCTAGCTTTTTAAGAATCAACTCAATTCTAACTTTTTTAATTTGTTTAATTTTACACCAACACACATCTCTATGTATTTTTTTAAAAATAATTATCAACCACAAAAACTACTTTAAAAATAAACACATTTTTAATAATATCATTTCTGGTATTATATAAAAAATTTCATTAAGATGAATTCATGAAAATTTTAAAATATTATTATTAAATGCTAAAGTGAAACACATATAGTGCTTGAAGGTGGTAAGTTAACTATTCATTAACACATGCATTACACATACCAATCATGTAGATTCTTTTGATCTAGCAAAAACAGGTGAATTTTATAGCATTTTGTGCATGTCAGATCATGCACGAACAACTAGAAACCTAACTTTTCAAAAATCAACTCGATTTTGACTTTTTTAATTTGTTTAATTTAACACCAACACACATTTCTATGTATTTTTAAAAATTAATTATCAACCATAGAAGCTATTTTAAAAACAAACATATTTTTAATAATAACATTCCTTGTATTATATAAATTTTTTTATTAAGATGAATTAATAAAAATTTTAAAATGCTATTATTAAAGGCTAGAGTGAAACATATATAGTGCTTGAATGTGATAAATTAACTATTCATTAATGCATGCATTACACATACCAATCATATAGATTGTTTTGGTCTAGCAAAGACGGGTGAACTTTATAGCATTTTGGCCATGTTAGGTCATGCACGAACAATTAGAAACCTAGCTTTTTAAGAATCAACTCAATTCTAACTTTTTTAATTTGTTTAATTTTACACCAACACACATCTTTATGTATTTTTTTAAAAATAATTATCAATCACAAAAGCTACTTTAAAAACAATCACATTTTTAATAATAACATTCCTGGTATTATATAAATTTTTTTATTAAGATGAATTAATCAAAATTTTAAAATACTATTATTAAAGGCTAGAGTGAAATATATAAAGTGCTTGAAGGTGGTAAGTTGATTATTCATGAATGTATGCATTACACATACCAATCATGTAGATTGTTTTGGTCTAGCAAAGACGAGTGAACTTTATAGCATTTTAGATGTGTCAGGTCATGCATGAGCAACTAGAAACCTAGCTTTTCAAAAATCAACTCAATTCTGACTTTTTCAATTTGTTTAATTTTATACCAACACACATCTTTATGTATTTTTTAAAAATAATTATCAACCACAAAAGTTACTTTCAAAACAAACACATTTTTAATAATAACATTCCTGATATTATATAAAAAATTTCATTAAGATGAATTAATAAAAATCTTAAAATGCTATTATTAAAGGTTAGAATGAAACACATGCTTGAAGGTGGAAAATTAACTATTCATTAATGCATGCATTACACATACTAATTATGTAGATTCTTTTGGTCCGACAAAAATGAGTGAACTTTATAACATTTTAGACATGTCAGGTTATGCATGAATAACTAGAAATATAGCTTTTCAAGAATCAACTCAATCCTAATTTTCTCAATTTGTTTAATTTTACACCAACACACACCTCTATATATTTTTTAAAAATTAATTATTAGGAGTCAAAACTATAAACTTTTCCGTGTACATAATTTCTCTATGTATGCAACACACACACACAGAGACACATACACACACACACATATATATATATATATATGAAGTGCATACACACTTTCTTAGACACTAGTTATTTCATGGGACTGTAATTCTCTATTAATGACATGCATGGAAAATTAATGATATATATAGAGAATTTTTATATATTTAAAGGTGTAAAAAAATAAAATTTAAAATAAAATTAATATTTTTTATATTTTTTAAGAATTATTTTTAATATAAATATATAAAAATATATTAATTTAAATTAAAAAATAAAATAAAATTATTTTAAAAAAAATCTTTTAAAATATAAAAACAAATTGACTTTTAGATGACCTAGGTTCTTGAGGGGCCTGAAAAGGACAGTGGGGTTCTGTAGATCTGCCCGTAGACGGGTCAGCCCAGAGCCCAATTAGAGTCTTTAAAATGTGGTTCTCCGTTTTTTTTTTAACAGTGAAATATGATCCAATTTGATGCTTGGCAGAAGCCTAAGTCAATTTCCTTATCGTTGAGGCCGGTCCATTTCAATGGCTGGCGAGCTTAAATGCAACCCAATTGGTCTTCGGAACCCAAAGAATATTTAAACTATGGAGTTCCTCCTCCGAAGTTCAAAAAGGTATGGAATGGAAATTGACGACCGTATCGGGAGTTGTTAAGGTTTTTTTTTTAAATAAAGAAAAAATTCTAATGTGAACGAAAATTTGCCGGGGGCATTTAATAAAATTAAAAAAATAATCATATACACTAATAAATAATAAAAATATATATAATCTCAAAATAGTATTCGAAAACACTTTGAAGCCAAAATATACCGTTGGAATTAAAAAAACAAAAGGCAACAAAATTAACAATCTTTTTATAGTTCATTAGCTTCCGGAACTTCATGATAGTTTATTGCAGTTGAAAATTAATTAACTTATTATAGTTCTCGTGATTCCTCGTTTTGATTTTAATACTCTGCCAGATTTTTTTTTAGTGAAAAAAGAAAACCCCTTGAATAAAAGCAAGATATTCTTCTATACTCCTTTTTTGTTTAGCCAAGAGTTATTTTCACAGGGAAGTTTTTGCGTAGCATAATCAAAATTGTTCATTTGGAGATTCTAAGAAAATACGTTATTGCTTGTGATGGAAACATTCCAAACAAATTTTAGTTAATTATTTGTAGCTGAAGTGAATTCATCACGGCAAGTGGCATGAGTCATGATGGATAGCACATACAAACCACAATAAAATCCAACTAGCAACCTGACGACAAAACAGTGACCAAGCTGCCGATTATATAACCTCTAGATTATCTATTGTTCTTGGAGGATGATGTCCTTATACGAGCTGCTAACCAAAGTTTTTTTCAAAACGAAAAAAAAAGAAGAAAGAAAAATCCTTCAAAAACGACAGTCCATCTTGTGATTTCGCTCCACAAATTCTACACACCTTTTTTCGCTCTACAAGTTGGCGTAACATCTTAAATTTGCTGTCATGTTCAAGTTCGTCATTGCGCTGCGCAGGTAAAGGGTCTAATCAAGGGGTCCGTTCAATTTGAAACAAACAAATTTGCGGAGTCCAGCTAAACTTCCTCGAACATGCACAGACCAGACAACAGTAGAAACGAGAGAAAAAAATGGCATGCTTTCCATTGGTTGCTAAAAAGACTGTGGAAGGAAGAATTGAAGTTTGGATTCTTTTGTGTCCATTCAGAATCCAAAATCGTATAAAAGAAAAATCACAAATGCTACAGAAAAGGAGTGCGGAAATTGTAGTTATGTGCTCATAAAGCAACGTTTCTGCTTAAGAGTCTGATAAAGATGCAAATCTTTAGAAGATTATGAGAAAATGAAGTGCACTGACGAGCTATGAAAACTTCTTTTAGACTTTTACTGCTTGTTACAATGCGATACGGATGGCATCAATGTACAGCTAGCAGGGACAGAAGCAACAAGCTCAGGTTAAAGCAGATTCAAAGATGCCTGTCTTCTTTGGGTTGGGCTCTCGGTGGAGCGAAGTGATATTTAGCTAATGAAGCATGCTAAAGGCACCTTCAACAATGATTGTTTCGATTAATTAAGAAAAGATTTGATCAAGTTGGGACTGTTCTAGGCTCATGCCCCGCTTGCTGCCCAGCACCCCTCAGGAAGTGTAGTGGCTGTAAGGGTGTTTCTCCAATTCTTGAAACATCGAGAAATTGCTTTGCCTTTAAACTACCAAATTGCCTTTAACATCAATCATGCAGGGATTAGTAGCCCAGAATACATCACTGCAAGCAATAACAAAAAAAAATTTACACATACAGGGTTGACAAAGGGTCCCTGATTTTCAATCTAATTTCACATCTCAACCTAACGTAACGGAGAACAATGAATGTTACCAGTAAATGCCGCAAGCAAAACAACGAAAGTGCCCAGAAAAGAAAAACAAATCACATGCTTTCCTGTTGGTTCTAAGAAGAGACGAGGGCAAAACAACCAAGAAGAAGTGGGTTTTCACTGTACTCTTAGCTAACCAAGGAGACATGAGAAAAATAATTAAAAAAGGTTATTAGAGTGCAGGAATACGATACTATAATGAGTTTGTGTGAAAAGTTATGTAAACGGTGAAATAGAGATTCATTCTAGAGGAACCGTACAGGAAAGTGAGAATCACGCCACTAGAAACGCCAATTTTTCTTATTTTTCCTACAACTAAGACCAGGTAATTCACGGCTAGAAAAGCAAGCAGAACCCTGAGAGCGTACTATGCTCATAAGCACGCTTATCCCTGCGTCTTCCGCTAATTTCCTGAGATTATACAAAGATACCACGTAGCATGAAAGCCTAACTAAACTGGAACGGTTTGCCCAGACTCAGCCGTGGATCCGTTTTCTTGCTCACCTTCACCAGACATTTCCTCGAGTGATTTTCCCTTTGACTCAGGTACTAAGAAAGTAAAAATCATTCCCAGGAAATTTATTACACCCAGAACTATAAGAGTCTTCCTCACTCCAATACCATCTGCAGCATACAAGAACCCGAAAGCACCCACAATTGCCCCTGCCTTGCCAGATGCAGCTGATATACCATGGCAAGTAGACCTCAATCTCGCTGGGAATATCTCCGCAGGAACAACAAATGTGGTGGCATTGGGACCAAAATTGGCAAAGAAGAAAGTGAGTGAATACATCGCAACGAAGCCAATTCGGTGGTCAGGCAGAGTCCAATGATGGTAAGGGATAGCCAAGGCAAACATGAATACTGTCATGAAGAAGAATCCCATCAATTGAATTGCAAACCTGCCAATCCTGTCAATAAATGCAACAGTAAACCAATAACCCGGAACCGTGCTGCAAAGAGCAATTAGAGTCTGTGCTCTAGCAATTTTAAAGACCTCTTCAAGGGCATTCATAGTTTTGGGATTAGGAATCCACCCAATAGCACTGAAAATGTCCTTTTGAAACAGATTCTGGCTGTAGAATGCAATGTCTAACAAGAACCAAGTGGTAGTGGTTCCAAGCAAGTGGAGTCCATGACGACGAGCAAATTGTGTAGAGAAAAGACCAAAATCATTCCCCTTTTCCTGTGACATCTTCTCAATTTTCTCTTGTTCTGACTCCAACTCAACCTCAAGCACTTTTGCCATGTCAGACGCAGCCTGTTTAGCATTCTTCGCAACCAAGGCAGTGTAACGCGCAGTTTCAGGCATCTTCATTCGCCAGTAATAAGTAAGAGCAGCTGGAATTGCACCAAACATCACAATAATCCGCCAAGCATAATCAGCTTGAGGCACAGTAGAGCCAGCTGGATCAACTTCAAAAACTGGGGCAGGAAACTGGGCCTTAAAAGCTGCAGAAATTATAATAGCGACCATCCCCCCAGCCAAGATTCCAAAACCTTGCATGGCAAAAACAGCTGCAATGAAAGCACCGCGGGTCTTTTTATTAGCATACTCAGACATGATTGTAGCGGAAAGTGGGTAGTCACCACCAATGCCAAATCCAAGCCAGAAGCGAAAGAAGCAAAGAGTAGACATAACAGCGGTAGGATTTTTGCCAAAAGAGAGGCCAGAAGCAATGGAGCAAATGACCATGATCATCAACGTCATACCATAGACACGTTTTCTGCCCATTTTGTCACCAAGCCAGCCAAAGAAGAGCTGACCAGAAAGGGTGCCACAGAAGGCAACACCATTAACAGCTGATGACACATTTGAAGGTAAAGCTCCCGGAGTATCAGAACCTGGCTGGTAGTAATATATCCGACCCAGCAATTTGGTCACAAGGGAGATGCAAAAAAGATCGTATGCATCAGTGAAGAATCCCATGCCAGCAATCACTATTGCTGTGAAATGGTACCATTGTGTTTTGGCCACATCAAGTGCATTAAGCACCTGCAATTGTTCCCTTGCCATGGTTTTCCCTGGATTTATGGAACAAATATCAATCAATAAATCGGCATAAAAAGCATACATAATACTTCAGAAGGGAAAAAAAAAACAAACACTTCTGGAAGTTGTTTGTAGTGAACCATTGACTCAACCTGTTGAAACTAGAAGACATGTGAGTGTCCTACAAAGATGGTTTGAGAAAAAGACATGAAAGTGTTAATCATGTTCCAAAAGGTAAGGTCCACTGCCACACGTCATTACGACAACTGAACTGACGCAGGAAAATTAAAAACAACAATCAAAACAGCGAAAAGTCAATTAACAAAACGAAAAACAACCAAATCTTTAAAACGGAAATAAAAGAGTAAAAAAATTGTACAGTGGCTGATGGGTGTTCGATATTTTAATCAAGTGCTTTTGAAAGTATTTTTTAAAAATAAATTTAAATTATATATTTATTTTTTAAAAATTTATTTTTAATATCATTACATCAAAATAATATAATAATATTAAAAAAAAATTAAAAAAAATTCAAAATTTTAAAAAATACATAGCGGTGAATTGAAAAAAAAAAACGCTAGGAGCATTTCTAATAAAAAATCCTATTTAGAAAAACTAAATTGATAACAAGACTTTTTAAATGGTGTATATATAATTTTTCTTTTATATATATGTACTCTAATAAAAAAACTACTTAGAAAAATTAATTATATTTTAACATATTTGATATTAATATAACTATTTATTAATAATAACCAACTAATATAACTTCAATTAAAAAATTTCTTTTACATAAAAATATATTAAATAAATCGGCATACAAAGCATACATAATACTTCAGAAGGGATTAAAAAAAAAAAAAACCTTCTGGAAGTTGCGTGTAGTGAATCAGTGACTCCACCTGTTGAAACTGTAATACTTGTGAGTGTCCGACAAAGATGGTTTGGGAAAAAGACATGAAAGTAATTAAGTTCCAAAACGTAAGGTCCACTGCCACACGTCATTACGACCACTGAACTCACGCAGGAAAATTAAAAACAACAATAAAAACAGCGAAAAACAACCAAATCTTCAAAAAGGAAATAAACGAGTGAAAACATTTGTACAGGTGGCTGATTGTGTTTGATATTTTAATAATGGGTTTTTTTTAAAATATTTTTTATTTAAAAATATATTTAAATTATATATTTTTATTTTTAAAAATTTATTTTTAATATTATTACATCAAAATAATATAATAATATTAAAAAATAAATTAAACAAAAAATTCAAAATTTTTTAAAACAAGTAGCTGTGAATTGAAAAAATAAACGCTAAGAGCATTTCTAATAAAAAGACTATTTAAAAAAGCTAAATTGATATCATGATTTTATAAATGATGAAAATATAATTTTTAATATATTTAATATTAATACGACTATTTAACCAACTAATATAACTTCCATTACAAAATTTCTTTTACATAAAAATATATTAAATAAATTTTAGCTTTTAACTAACATGTAAGAATAATTATTTAACTTAAAAATGCTATTTTAACTTTTTCTTTGGAGATGCTCTAAAAATCGCCATTGTTCTACAAAGTACTTGAAGGGGTTTCTTCCTCCTCCATCTCTCCATCAAAAGATCAATCAGGCTAGAAAAGAAAGGGGTACCTATCTATCTTGTTTCTAATTTCAAGAAAGAAAAAAAGGGGGTTAATTAAGATAACAAAATTGAAGTAAAAATCATCCATGATCTTAATTAACAGGAAAAAAAAAAGTATTTAACGAAGCAAAGTGGAAAACAGAGTGCAGCATGCATGTACCTCAAGTGCAGCAGAGAGAGAGAGAGAGAGAACAGCACAAAAAAGGATTATGAGCGCTCTTAATGTCAAGGAGAGGTGCTGGCTAGGTTTTGCTTTTTATTATAAGTAATCAAGGGACGAAAGAGAATTATGGAAGAGCAAACGTTACGAAGAGCAGTAGTTCGAGAGAGAGGGAGATTGGAAAAGAAAGAGAGAAAGAGAGATTTAAGTGATCGCGAAGAATCACAAAGGAATGTACTATCTATCTATATATCTCTTCTATGTATAGTTAATGACTCTGTGAGAGAGAAGAGATGAGAGAGAGAGCAGGCAAGGGATGGAGGGATAGCATGCAGAGGTAGTTGCGTATTTAACTGCACCGAACCCTCTCTGCTTTCGGATTTATTTTTTTCACTGCTATTATTTATGACCTTAAGAGCTTCTGTCAGTTCTTTATCCCTCCTGGCTGCATTATGAGGAATTTCTTCTTCTTCTTTATACATATTTCTTTATTTAAACAAAAAAAAAAGTGTTACGTGGGATCGAATTTATTTACCACCAAATCCAATTTTGGACCGTGTGATGACAGTATTGAGTATTTGAAAAAACACAATTTTTATTTGGGTTTCTAATTAGTATTAATATATTATCAATTAAGTTTTTCATTTACTTTATAATTTTTTAACAAAAAAAAAATTATGTTTCTTATGTAGTTGGAGGAGGGAACTTATGGACAGAAAGATTTGGTTGAGGATTTTGGAAATTCGAGGTTTTTTTCCTTGAGATTTACTAAATAATTTATCTCGTTTGCTCCTTACGACATGCACTTTGGTTCCGAATCAACAGATTTTTATTTTTTTTAACCTTTTGGAAGAAGGACTGCCGGATGATTTCAGCAAGACTTTAGAATACGTTTTTTCTTAACTTTTTAATTTATTTTTTTATATAAAAAAGGTTTTAAAAATACAAATGAACATTTAAATAGTGTTTTGTTTTGGTTAATTGTGTTCTTAAAAAAATTTAATTTTTATTTTATTTTTAGATTGTTTTGATATAATAAATAACAAAAATAATTCTTTAAAAAATATTATTTTAATATTATTTAATGTATTTTAAGTAACTTTTACAGCAATATTAAACACTCTTAGTGTTATCATTTACAGAGAAAAGACAGAACACCATGTTACGTGACTTGATTAGAGGACATGTTATAATAATATCTTGTTTATTTTTACGTTTTAAAAATAATTTTAAAAAATTTAAAATTTTATATTTTTTTTACTTCAAATTAGTATTTTTTAGATCATTTTAATGCACTGATATCAAAATTAATTTTTAATAAATAAATAAATATTATTTTGATACATTTTTGAGTAAAAAATACTTTAAAAAATAACCACAACCATTCTTTCAAACACACTCTAATATTGCATGACTCATTGAACCGGTAACTGTCTTTCAGCTAACTTAACCTTCCCTGTCCCTCGGGATCAACAAGAAATAATATAAAAATATTTATCTTTTATCCATCAATTACACCTTTCTGTCTTATTTTAAGCCTTAGCTTACCTTCTTGAACAAACTTTGTAAAGGAAGTTTTTAGTTTTTAAAGCATTGGATTCTCATCAATATTTGTGTTATTTAAGACAATATTTTCGCTTCCATTTTATCCACCCCTGATCGAATGAGTGCTTCCCTTAAAGCGAGACGCTCCCCTACTAATGTATTTTTGCACCTCACAACTTCGACAAACTGCTTACCCCTATTTATATTCAATGTAAAAGCACTTAATTAGTGAGCTTTTACATACTCTTCTATTAGTGATTATTTTGAAGCAAACCTCATGATTGTCTATGCACCCTTATCTCTTTTATTACTAAGTAGACATTCAAGAGTCATAATTGATGATTCACACTATTTCTTTATTGTCGACGAAGCTTATCCCCCATCATCTAATTAGCTGACCTTGCTTGATCTTATTATTTTGAGGTAATATCTAACATTTAGAGTTTGTTTCAATTTAGTACAACTCTTGTATCCTGCACAAAAACAATGTTTTACATCTGGATGTTTTTGTTACTGATCAATGCATCCTAGGGAGAATCAAGTAGTTTTAGGTTCTAGTAACATTTCACTCCTCATCACAAACTCATTTTATGATTATTTAGTTGGCAGGATTTTGACAAAAAAAAATGGTTAAGCTTTATGTCAGGCGGTTACATTCGATGAGAGAAGTTCAATGATGGTTGTGTTTAGCCTTTATTTTGCTAGAAAAGGTAGATTGGTGCTTAAAAATTTTTATGGTTTATGGTTCTTTGATTATTTAACTAATGTTTTTTTATTTTCATGCCACAAATGAGTTTATTGAGTTTTTTATGGTGTTTATCAAGTATTTTCTATGAAGATTCTATTGAAATGGGTGTATTTGGTTTAAAAGTTGAGAACTTGACTTTCCAATGATTTTTCAATCACATGAGATAGCTAAAAATGGATGTGATTCAAAAGTTAAAAACTTGACTTTTTAATGATTTTTCATTCACATGAGATAGCTAGAAATTAGATAGCAGCGATGTGTCGTTTACTTTTTTTTCTTTTTTTAAATAAAAGGTCCACTCTCTATTGCACATGTATATATAAGTCCATGTTTTTGGGTCTGGATTTCGAGGCCCAAATAATTTTGGGCTCGAGTACTTGGTCGTGTATGTGGGCTTGACTTTTTTTATGGTTTTTTTTTTTACAAAAGTTTTAATTAATACCCTCCCTCTTTTGTATATATTTTTCAGTTTATATTAATTTTTTATTTTAATTTAAACAAATACCCTCTTTTTCTTATTTTTAAAATTGTTTTGTTCAATGTTGTTATTTTTAATTATTTTTTATTGTTATAATATTTTAAAAGATTTTTATAATTTATTTTTTCATTTACATCTGATATAAATAAATTATATTTTTATAATGTATTTTTTATATAAAATATTGCTTATTCATTATGAGAATAAAGATAAATAAAAAATAAAAACATATAAAATCAAGAGAAAAAGGTGTGTTAGATATTTATATCTATATATGTCTTTTGTTTTTAGAAGAGATATTAGCTTAACAATTTAGTATTTAATTATTATTAATACCTATTTCATACTTGAAAGATTCAACTATTCTTAAAATTTATTTTATTAAATATAAATAATATATTCACAATATTTAATTAAAAAACATGATGCAATAAAACATGTTTGGATTCCGTAAGAGGAGCAAGTCTTACAACACTAGCACAATAAGCTTCTTTTTTTCATTTCTAAGAAATAGACAAGGGAAGCTTCTTCTTTGCTTCTGTGAAACGTGTATCACCATCCATCTCTTACTGTTTTATCTTTTTCCAAAGTTGTAATTTTGTCTTTTGAGATTGCAAAAAATATAAAAGGTAGCCATTATCGGTACTTTTGGATATTCACCAAACACTTTTATATCTAGTACATATTTATATTTAGAGTTTTTTTATGCATTTTAAAAGTATTTTTGTTTTTAATTATTTTTTTTATATTTTCAAATTATTTTTGATATATTAATGTTAAAAATACTTTTTTTAATTTAAATTTTTTTTTTAATATATTAAAAAAATTAAAAATTAATTACTGATAGATTTCTAAATTGTGCTAGATGCGACAAATGTGATCTATAAATTAAAGACACGGATCAACATTTTCAAGTTTTGAGCAAATTGCTACTGGCGAATGCAGTGTATGGCACTATGATTATGATGGGAAGGGTTTTTTAATTTTTAAATTAATATATTTTTATATTATTTTAATGGGTTAATATTAAAAATATTTTTTAAAAAATGAAAAGTATTATTTTAATATATTTTAAAATAAAAAATATTTTAAAAAATAATTATAACAACACGTACAAATACCCTCAACTTCCTACGTGATGTGATCGGGAAATGATTGATAGACCAGCTACACAGCTCTGGTCTTTAATGTCGTCTGGATTAGATCCCAGTCTTTAATCTTTGCATGGGAAGTCAAAAGTCAACAAGTCAATTGAAGCATGAAAAATTATTAGAAGCTACCAATTATTTTATAAAAGAAATTTTAACAGAAAAAAAAGTAAATATACAAACTTTTTAATTTTTTTAAATCTAATTAAAAATTAAAGATTTTATACATGTATTTAATTCATTTATATTAATAAATACAAAAAAAATAAAATATTAATGTGTCTATTCAACTTGTCTAATTGAAGATTGAACAATTTTTTTCTAATATTTAAAAATTAATGTGTAGGTGTTATTAATATATTTTTTTTGATAATTGAGTGGAAAATATAACTATAAATTAAAAATTTAATACTTATATATATAGTAAAAATAAAAACATATAAATTCACAAACTAATTTTTAACATAGCAAATCAATAAAACAATCCTGCAATTACTATAATAAAACATTATTTTCTTAATATTTGTATAATAATTTTTCAAAACAATATATGGAAAAAATATAATAATAAATTATATAAAAATATATATATATAAATAGGTTAAGTGTAAAGAATAAAAAATAATATTT